CTCAGCATAAAGCGTGAACAAGATCCAGATTTTCAACATTAATTCAGTCAAGTCAGTGCTTCTACATGGTTCAGAAACTTGGTGTGTTTCGAAAAGCATTTCCAACCAACTGCAGACATTCATCAACAGCTACCGACTACGCTCGCTCGATATCAGAGATGAAGATCAGGAGGCCAGAAAAAATAAACAAGATGGACCTTGGCTGTCAACGAACCAAACAGTAACCTATCGGCCAACAAATATGCAGAAGAAAATGGAGATAGATTGGTTTTGACATACACTGAGAAGACCATTTAGGGACATCACGCACCAGGTCAGGCCAGGCCCTCGAGTGGAGCCTATATGGGAAACGACAAGTTGGGCGTCTGAGTGTGACATGAAGAGACCCAAAGGACAAATAATAAAAATGAAAAAATTATATATATTACCACACTAGTTGCTAATATTTTGGTAATTAGAATAAGGTGAAGTTGGATTTCATGTTGAAAGAATCTAAAAGTTATTTATATCAATATAAAGAAATTAACTTTTACAAACGTTTGTGTTCAAACCCTTTTGAGTGGGTAACTACGGGTCACTGCGTCTCAGGATTACTCCATCAGCTATCTGTCGATTGACTTCTAGTGTCTAACACAAAATTTTGTACATTCTCATTTACCTATAAAATAACACCAATCCAAGAGATCTATCTTTTTAAAGTTTTGAAGTGAATCAGTAGCTATTTATTATGACCTTGAAATGAAGCACGACGTTTTAAAAGTCGCGCTTCTCATTTTTATCATCATTGTTGCCGTTGGACATATAGTTGTACAGTCTTCCCTACTCTTACAGTTTTCCTTGTAAATTATCATTCATAAGATATTGTAATTGGTACTGATAACCATATCATAAGGTTTACCAAAGACAGTTAAACTTAGTATGCTCATTATTTGTACTTTATTGTAATGCATAAAATCGAATTTGAAATCGCTTATAGACCTTAGATACTATTATTACTTTTGGTATCGGGTAAATGCAAATAGCTGAAGATACTTTGGTTAGAGAACTACTGAAAATCTAGGAGAATTGGATGATTGCTTCTTTTTAACACAGGAGTCATCAGTGGTGTGCATCTCCTCTTCAGAGATCAAACTATGCGCCATCAGATCGCATGGTGAGCATATAAGTATTCAGCTAGTGGTTAGAGACTGAATGGTTCACATTTTCCTACTTCCAAATGTCGATTTGCAGTATAGCACTATCCCCAACCTGTTCAGCTGACGAATATTTGCCTTTACAACTGACTTCAATGACTCCATTGAGTCATGGTTTCTCAACAGAACTTCAGAAAATCCATCTTGAAGGAAGTAACGAATGATCAATGGATAGAAATTCATTTAGTGGTTTGTGAAGATTGATTGGTGTCAAAAAGTAGTATAGATGAAGGAGTGACATCAGTTAAAGAACCATTAAATACCTGAAAGCCCTGGATAACTGTCAATTAATACTGATAACTACATAATAGCGTCTACAATCTCAAGATATAATTGTCATTATTATTACTGTTATTATATTGAGCTAAAGGAAACTGGGAAAACTCTATTCAAAAATTACTCCATTTCAACAATGGCAAGACATGTAATTTGCTGTTGATAGATGAGCTTTGATAGTGTCTAAATATTCTTAGTATTATACTTTACTTGATGGCTAGCAAGAGAATCTCAATTGAACGTTTCATCCCTGCACTAAGATGAGTGACCGTATTCTCAGTGAGTCTTGAATGCAGTAACCATCGCTTTGAACTCCAAAGTGTTCAATAGGCTAGTGTTAGTCACTAATTGAATGAATATTCAGACAGTATGGAGGCATCTGTCAACAGAAGTCGATCAATTGCATAAAATTATAAGTATCAGTAAAACAATAAGAGATATCCATTGTACAAGTGGTAGTTAGTGTAATGTAGTAGACTGCTGGATAACAATTTTGCTGAATTAACTATTCATTTAGGCTTTACTTTCTACTCCAGTGGAAAATATTAAATATATTTGAGATGAATAGGTATTTTTAATTTAAAGGTAGTATTCATCATGGAGTGATATCAGTTGGGGAACTATTGACAATCTGGAAGCGTTGAATAACTGTTACTTCCTAGTATGGGTCTCCTCAGTAGTACACATCCACGGCCTGCCTAAGAATCGAACTCAATACCTCTAGGTTTCATGGAGAATGCGTCAACTATCCACCTACTGGTCAGTTTTCAGTGTTTCAATGATTTGTCATGGAAAGCCAAAAGAAGAATTCATATACGGGTGTATGGGTCTATTTTACGGCAATTAGGTGAAATTTCCAGTTATGGTCAAGATACTTGATAACTGAGACTTTTATCTACGATCGTTCGCTTGAATATTATCACTAAATTAAAGCGTAGTGAAGATAAGTTTTACGAGATGATATAATTTCATAGTTTTTCTATAACCCTTGACAACTAATACTGCTTACATTGAGGTTTTTGGGGATTTTATTTTAAAGGTAGTATTCATCATCGGGTAACATCAGTCGGGGAACTATTGAACACCTCAGAGTATTGTACAGCTGTTTCATCTCAGTATAGGACTGCTCAAATGTAAGTACCCATGACCTTGTCAAGGATTGGACTCAAGATCTTGAAGATGACCTTGGGAGATGATTATTGCTACATCATGAAATGAAAGAACTAAGAAACTGTAGACCATTCAACTTTAACCCACTGACTAAATGGTTAACACATTCACTATGAAACCACAAGGTCGTTGGTTAGATTGCTGACAGGGTGGTGGGTGCGTACTACTGAGGTGTCCCATACTACAATGAAACAGCTGTCCAGTGCTCCTGGATTTTCAATGATTTACCAGCTAATGTCACTCCATGATGAATAAGCCTTGATTATAAATTATTCATTGGTATTCGCAGTTAAATAGAGTTATAGGAAATATTGATAACCAACCTATTTACTAGACTTTGTATTTCACACTAAACAAACAGTCACAATCCATTATTTCCTGAATATCTAATTTTCGATGTATATGGGTAATCCAAAACTGTTTCTATCACCTTTAACAACTTTTGTTCAAAGTTATCTGAAATCATCGAAAAATAGTCATTAAAATTTATTTTGTAACCAGTGAAGATAATATCTGACTTGTATTCATGTTAAGTACATCGTACATACATCATACATACATCATTTGATTTGATAACCATTAAGGAACATGTTCTCCCCAACGGTATTTCTGCCAGTTCTACTTATACAAATATCCCTATAACTGTAGGTGAAATTGTAGATACAATATGTGGGGGCGGGGTGGAATTACTCAAATCTCGCTCTTTAAGTCTTAACACTGAGAGAGAAAATATTTCTGGGGTTAAATCAAGAGAATCAGCATAGAAAGTCCACTTGATAGCCAACTGAAGCCTTTGTGCTGCCAAGTGTATAATTTGATCACCTTTAGATAGTAGGATTGAAGAAGACTGCTTTATCGATTTTTAACTGTAGCTATTCTTTACATTGATATACCAAAAAATGATATCACCTAGAAACATTTGTCATTTTAGTGCTTTATTTGAATAATCTCAGTGTAAAAAACTTCATCTAATTGTAATTGGTCAATTATGAAATCTCCAATTGAATAAGAAATGGCTCGTTTTGAATTCACCAATCTACATCGTCTCTGAAGTAGACTGATGAGATAAGAAACATATATGTCAAAGGATGAGTTAACTGTACTGCATTCTCTTCTATCCCATTATACGACTGTAAGAAATGGCCGTGGAAAGTAGAAGACAGGAAGAGATAGTAGGCTTGTGAACACATGTGTCTTAACAGAATTATTCATATCTGATGGAATCATTGTTTGAGAAATGTCGCGGTTGTGTGAAGGGTGCCAGGCAAGGGAGAAAGTTAGTCAATGATGTTTCATATACTGGGACACTGTTTACTTTGACATGCGATGTCAGCCGAGGTAGGAATAGATTGCAGGTAAGCTGACTGTGACTAGACCAAGACGTGCCACTGGTCATTGTAGTCTGCATGTCGACTGCCTAGTTGTTGTCTTGAAGGTGACATAAATCATGGTTGTAGATTTGATATCATGTCTAAACATGGATTACAGTGGTAGAGCTGATTTCATTTTCTGACATTTTTCAAAGCTTAGAAACTCCAACTAACGTTCATTTTTCAATATTCTTCCCTTATAATACACTTCTGCCTGCTTTGATATCAGCCTTTCTCTGTCCACTTGTTCTTTTCATACTTCTCTGTAGCACTATGACTTTAACTGATGCATTTATGCGACAGGTTTCACTTCATTCATCTGTCATTGTCATGAACATGAATATGTCACACATATACTACATATTATGAAACCGGGTGATGATTGAAGGTGAAATGAAAATTTGGACCACTGCCGGATTCGAACCAGCGACCTCGTAGCTCATTTAGTAGAATATCTGACCGGAAACCTGGTGGTCGATTGTTCAAATCTGGCAGTGGTCCAAATTTTCATTTCACCTTCAGTCGTCACCCAGTATCAGTACTGATCTGTCAATAACGGTTATCTCAAGTAGTCAAGTGGTTATCAGCATGATGCTCCCTCTCTATCTAATTCAGTTCGATCCCCACTGGGATGAGGAGTCCTGAATAGGCAGCCAGTTTGCATATGATCAAGCGTTAGTAACGCCTCATGGGTTCACTTGGTAGTCATGCAAAACCCTTGATGATTGGAGTGAAGTAAAAATATGATCAGCAGTCGGATCTCGTAGATCAGTTGGTAGAGCATCAGGCTGGAAACCCAGTGGTCGCTGGTTTGAATGCAACCGCGGTCAAAATCTTCATTTCACCATGAATCATCACCCAGTATCAATACCAGTCTGCCAGACCATGGCTATTTCAGATAGTCAGAACGATAATATTATAAAACCCTATGTGACAGCCAATTTCACATTATGATTAAGGAAAATTTAACTTTATGTATTTTTCTTTGTAGCAAGAAAAGGGATATGGTAAACTTTCATCCTACAAAATCTATGAGAAATTGGGTGAAGTAAGTGACTAGTTGTTTTTCATATCAATAACCTTTAGTACTATTCTTTAAAAGTATTGTCTTCTATGCTTATATATGAAAATATTTGTCCGTATACAGTTCCTTATATTTTCAAGGTAGTCTTCATTACAGAATAGCATCACCATCAAAATACCAGGGGGTACTAGGCAGCTGTTTCGTTCTAGTATGGAAGCTTTCAGCAGTATGCATCCATGACTCAGTCAAGTATAGAACAATGTTGTCAGTTGAAAACGAATGGTCTACTTAAACCATGAAGCCTGAAACTTGTTCCACCTAGTATATTACATCATCACAGTAGACAGCAGTGCGTACCTAAGCGCAGAGCAATGCATGTCATGACTTCGCCTAAAATAGTTGGATAAAACAACAGATTTTCAGGTTGACTAAAAGAACTACCACTGTCAATCTTAAGCAAGTTTTTCTATTTGCCTGTATCCTATCGTCTCGGAATATCATATCTACCGACGAATAGATAGACGAACCACAGCTACCTTTCATACATTGCTGTATATAATGCTGTGATTTTTGATAACTATTTCATTCAAAACTATGTACATGGAGTAAACTTACTACAATTTTGGATGTTGAGAGTTCGGTCAGTATTCAGTACTAGAAAACATGGAATTGGTAGCTGTCCAATGACCAATAAGTGTAGATAATTCAGTCTTACGGGGTGTCACTGGCAGCTGAAAAAGCTCAGTGGAAATGTCACTGACTGAGATACTGGTTTGCGTGAGTATGAACTTAAAGAGAGATGTAAATTCTGTGGAGGTTACAGATACACCTTACTGGCGAGTGCCAACAACCACAAAACATGGATCAGACAAGGCTTCTAGACGATTGCCTCCACTTACCAAATATGTGAGTATTAGTAGTAGTAATGGTAATGGTAGTGGTAATAGTAGTAGTAGTAGTATTGTTTTAAGGAAGTCTTAGTTTCCTCTCAAAATGTTTCAAACTGTCTTTTTAAAATTGAAGTCTAATTGGTGTGATTTATATTGGTTTACACAAGTGACTTTTAATCATATGGTCACAGAAGTAATGCCCAATCCACCTACTTAGATTTATGTCTCACAACAACACCATCAGTCCTTAGTAGTAGTACATGGTTGAGGCTGCTTGCTTACTTCACAATTCTGTATATGGCCATTGAGTAAAATTTGTTTAATTTTAAATGAAGATGAAAATCTGTTTATTTCAAGAGAAGCGGAATCTTTGGGAGCTTACTACTATGCAATATGTTAAAGAGTGTCTTTCAGAATATGTTCTACCGATGGTTTTCCACCCTTCAGTTTTGTTCATCTCTCTTACTATGTGTGTGTGTGTGTGTGGATCAGTTAAAACAACAAATAAATTGAGCTTCCTCACTATTGGATTTTATCTTGGTTTGAACTAACCTCTGATTTCAAAGACAGACATTTTAGCTACTGCACAATCATACATAAGTCAAGTAGAGTCACAGTAAACAATATACCATTTATTATTACACTATTCCCATGATGACTTTCAGTTTACCAGTACATATGCGACATCAATGGAAAGTCAAATTTTCATGGTTGTATTCGATCAAGAACTAGAAATCACACCACATTTTAGTTATGTGTTCATTATATTGTTATTATTTATCCCTTGGGTACCTAGTGGAACATAGGGCTTTAGTAGTACGTCTCCATTGCACTCTGTTTTCGGCAATCTTTTCAACCTGGCTCCACGACTGCCCACAAGCTCTCATTTCTTCCCTACACGATCTCTTCCATGTCATCCTTGGACCCCCAACTCACCGTTTCCCATCTGGCTTCCACTGGCGCGTGATGCTCCCAATCGGTCTTCTCAGTGCATACCCAATCCAGTCATTATTTAGTGCAAACTGAATAAAAATCATACAAATGTGTGATTTTAAACGCTGATGCAGTTCCATTTCAATCTCAGTAATAATCCTGTTCACAGGTAGTCGTCGTGAAAGCTTTACTTACATCTCACTGAGACTCAAACAATACCACTCATTACCGTGCAACCACATCCAGTTGACGAGTCTTAAATATGAGGAAGTGCAAGTCATACTTGTTAGCCAGTATCCATCACTAGTAAGAAAAATGAAAATACCGGCAGAATCGAGGGATCCCAACAGGAGCCACTATGTTTTTTAGTGGCCAATCAATTCGGTCCAATCAATGACGGGAATTTACAGTCTGTGACGTCCAAACTAGTACATGAAATGTTTAGAGCTATTTTCACACAAGATTTTGCATATAACTCATTCATTTCATCTTCATGATCTATTCAGAAGGAAGTTTGAAACCAAGATATTCGCTAGTGGATTATAACTTTGGATATATCGCCTCTGAATCAGATTTAAAGAGACCAGTTTAGAGAAGGGACTCTTGAAATCAACGATTAAAGGTTTTCAACTGTACAAAATGTACATGGATGATACTTTTATTATCTGTGATCATCAGTATGATTTGAATCATGTTCTACAAATATTCAGTGACTGCCATTCACCGATTAGATTCACTCTTGAGGTTGAAAATCAATCGAAAATTGACTTTCTTGATAAACAGCTGATGGAAGGAAGATTAAATAGATCAATTGACAGAAAACTAATGTGTAATGGTCAACTGACTAACTATGTATGATAGCTGGGTTTCTATGAGTCGTAAGCAAAACCTGATCATATCTCTTACCACTCGTAATAGACGAATCTACAGTACCGATGTCTTAGAAGAGTAAGTTTCTGTTCTAGTTAATGAACAACATGATTGAAAACGGATTCCCACTAGGCTTCATAGACAAAATCATCAAGCCTATATCTCGTTGAAAGAACATTACCAGTGTGTCAACAAAGACACTGTATATGAATCTAAAGTTGAAAGATGATTCTCCCACTGTCAGTGTAAAGAGAAGGATAGCAAATGCCCTTAGGTGAACATTCTTTGTATAAACGCTGAGACAAGTATTCTCTTGTCACCCAACGATAACTAACAACTCAAAGGAAAAAAACTTTCATATCTGAGCACTTCTCCGCACATATATGAATTCACTTGCTCTTGTACAGGCAGATATATAGGTGGTCCGATGCGACTGTTATTTAAAAGGGTTCAAGAGCACTATCCTACATAGTTACAAAGAATTAACAATGCAGGAATAATGAGTGCCATAATTGAGCACATCGTAGACACGAATCACGCTATCTCAAGAATTTCCATGTTCAAAGTCATCTATAAAGTGAAGAGAAACCTTCCAAAGGTTATATGTCTTCGTATTCTCTGCATCGCCTAAGCTCTTGCTTTCCATATGAAGACACCTGAACTCTGTATGCAGAAGAAGTTTGTTCAACCGGTCCTCCTTTCACGGTTTTAGTTTTCAGTCTCATCTACCCGCCTCTTTTTCTTCTCATTTTTCTATTTTCACACTTATTTTGATTAATATTCCCGACTCATCAGTTTTATTAGTTTTCTGATTTTCATGACACCTCACAAGATTGATACTATTTGTGTTGTCATAATTGATTAACCCTTTTTTTACTATCGAATCTTTACACTAGAAAAATGTATAAATTTACGACTTCACAGTTTTGAAAATGAAATCGTCAAAAAGAGACTCTTCACTGTGATTTTTATGTGTTATTCTATGGTAGAACTCAATCAATACTTTTGAAGTTCATTATCCCCTTGAATTTAACCCAGTCTCTACAACTCCTTTTTTGTATCATTATTTGAGGTGTAGAGAAAAGTTCAGATTACTTTTTAACGTTAACACTGATCCAGATGACTGACATTGTTTTCAGCATCAGCTTATAGACTAGTTCCCAGACTTCGACTATCGTCTGTTTTCAATCCTATCACCTTATCTCTTCTCTAACAGAAATTATCATGAAAAACCTAATATGCCATAAATGTTGTATGAGGAAGGAAATATCAGAATAGTACTAGGTTATCAGTTTTCGATAATAAATCAATACTAACTACATGCTCACTGTCACTCATTTATTTTCCGGTTAGATTACTATTAGTATGATTAGGATTATAGATTGAGGTCAGTAGTCGAACTTCTTAGCTCAGTTGATAGAGCATCGGACCGAAAACCCCAACGGGCACTGGTCCGAATGCAGCCGCCGTCCAGATTTTTATCTCACCTTCATCAACACAATAATAAAGAGAACTGCTGTAGTTTTAGCTTTTATCCATGTTATGGTGTCGGATAACAAAGTACACTTGGTTGGAAACCTTTCAAAACCGGTGAGAAGATTAAATCTTAAATTTTTTAAAAATCAGCCTCCAACAGAGGCAATGGCATCAAATTCACAATGAAGAAGGAGTCAAACAACCAACTACCATTCCTGGATGTTTTAGTTGGTAGGACAAATACCAGAAAGCTGGAAACACAAGTGTACAGGAAGCCAACACACACTGATCAAATCCTCAACTACAATAGTAACAACCTAACAACGCACAAAAATATTTGCGTACAGACTCTATTCAAAAGAGGGAGAACACACAATGAAGAAAAATACTTCATCTTTATCCTAAAGAAGAACGTCTACCCACGAAACCTTATCAGAAGATGCCTATCCTGTACATCATCAACTGCAAAGTCATCCACTGAAATCAACGAATGCACCATTCTACTTTACATCAAGAAGATGTCAGAAATCACAACAACATTATTAAGACCACTTGGAATTGATGTGGCCACTCATCAACCAACAATTTCCCCACAAACACCATTATACAGAATGATCAAAGGATGCAACAATCAAACAAGACAAACTGAATATCATTCACAAAATCAACTACACTAATTGTGATCAAAACTACATTGGACAAAGTGGTCACCCTCTTCGTCTTCGTCTACATGAACATCAGTTGGCTGTTAAACGTCACGACATCTCATCGCTGCTCCTTTTAATGCATGTGGATAACAAGTATGGACATGAATTCCATTTTTGGCAATGTAGAAATGTTGGATGTAGAGAGGAAACACACAGAATATCATAGAATTCCTAGAAGCATGACATTCACTTCAGTCAGTCAGTAATCAATAGATGTATAGAAACAGATCGAATCTATCAATCAACAGGAGAAATGATAAAGGAGAGGAAGGTGAGAAGTCAAGTGGAAGAATTGTCAACAGGAAAATGTGTAGTTAGTCGATGACACAACAATCAAGGGAAACAACCAACCACACACAAATCAATTGGTGTGTGGAAGGTGTTGACTCACTGACTGAGAGATATTGACAGCTCACTTCATAGTGAAGGTGGTGTTGATGATGTTGTCTAGAAAGACGATGAAATCTCCACGACTAGACAACCCAGCTCAGAGAACACAACACAACTAAGAAAGTCTTAGTCATAGCTGGATTTAAACAAGCTACCTGCAGGTTACCCACCTGGTCCTCGATAAACTGAGCTATCTGATTTAGCTACTGACTATATCTCAATGTCACTGGAATTACCAAGGGCTTTATCCAATCAGTATGTCATCTCATCATTATGTTATTATCATTTGATCGTATATACACAGGCTGCCCAGCCAGAAGTTCTCATCGTAATCTTAGCCAGCATAAATTAGAAACATGAAGCATCAGACTGATTATCAATTTGACTATCAGGATATGCTTAAATCTCTCCATAGACAATGAAAGTTTTGGTTGTGATACTTTTGAATTTCCCCTTGCAATGCAGGGCCGGATGGCTAAGCCTCTGTTGGTAGATGTGTCCCTATGTGGATGCCTCGATAGTGTCCAATATTGATGATGTTATGTTGATCTTGGTGACTAATAGAGTTACTGGATACCGGGTTGGAGTCTCAGTAGGAACAACAACACTCTCTGGAAGGCAGATACACCTAGCTGACGAGTCCCATACAGGATGAAATGCATGTCCTGGATTCTGTACCTATCTACTATCCATCAATAGTCTCATTTGCTAGTTAACACTAATTTTGCTGATTGTTTCCATGCCTACTGATTGAAATAAACTGTGTAGAAAAGAAATACTATAAGTTGTGTTATCTTTAATGAAAATGTCTCCTTTGACATCGATTGTCTACTGCAGCGTTTGTATATCACAAACCAAACGTAGTACAATGAGCATGTTACATCTTCAGTTGAATATTTATTTAACTTATTTGAATTAAAAAAGCATAGATCTGCATAAAGGACGTTTTCGTAATTCTTCATCATAGCTGCACACTCTTAGTCGTATAATACTTTAAAGATATATCATGAATTTCACATATAAGGGTCAAAGGTTAACGCCCGTTTAGTAACTAAACGTAATGAATTTTGAATCGGAAGATAAAACCGGTATAATGTGTCTGATAGCAAGTCAATCTGCAGACATAAAAAAGAAGCCGTACTGGATTTAAGTTTCGTGCTTGTTAGCACTCGTCAGCAACACTTATCTACAACTTTGACGCGACTGATATCCCACTGGAAATTACGACCCACGTCATCCATTCTTGTAGTCAAAGCTATTCGGGCAATGAGAAGTCTGTTGTAGGAATGGACTAAGTACATTGACTGATCACTGAATGGTGATCAACTTTATGTGTTTTAATCCTCCTAAGTACTGATCGAATTCTACTAGTCGTTTTCCAATATAATCATCAACTTAGGATACTCCCTATCTTTTTGCAACTTCATTGGTATTACACTGGACGGAGGTGTTCGATAGAAAGCCTATTTCATTCGCCAAATCTAGTTTTGATTGCTTTGATCAATATTTTCAAAGGAAACATTTTATGAAATTTTTTATACTCAATGATTTTCAATTGCATTCATTATTCAGTATTTAATTAACTTCTATTGTGTGTGAAATGATTGTTGTTCATTGAAATATACACGAATTAGACACTGGTGTGAATAATCGTTTCAGCTATCCATTACACTTAATCCAGTCTCATAGGTGGTATATTGTGACCCAAACAGCTCATTGGGTTCCAGATTCTATTTTTAAATGGTTAATCCTTCTGTTGATCAAAGAAGATGTAATCAAAATTCATTTCAATAGCTTAATCTGATTTTATACATTACACTGAACAAGTGATATACACGTTTCATATGATCTGAAAGAACAATATGTTCCAAAATGGAAGTATCATTCAGTCTAAATTCTGTTTTTAATAACTATACTGATATATTCTCTTGAATACACCTTGACAGTATCCTGCTAGTATGATTTATTCATTTAGCTCCATAAGAGTGAATAAATTTATGTGCACACATGGACGTTGTCTTATCAATAATATTTTGATGAACAAGAATTTGTATGCACCGAGTAATAACAAACGCAGCAGCGAAGGATGTCTATCGAATGGCTTTTAATAAACGAACGTATATCACTTGACTACCTGTGTCACCCTTTGATTTCAGACTTTTACGTAGGTATTTCTTAATTAGTATTAGTCTGTATAAAACACAAGGCTTATATTTTATATATTTACTGAAGAATCCCAACTCTGTATCCAATATTTCTTTCATGCATTTATGGTTGTATCATAATTTACGAAACACTGGGTACAGTTTCATCTCTTAGTGAATAAGAGAACTCTGATTCTCGAAGCTTTATATACACTCCTGATTAACGGATGACAGAAGACTTTCACTGAAAGACAAATCTCCATCTATGAATGGTTATTCTAACTTTCTTCTCAAGCTCTGATTTATTGAATAAAACGTCAGATTTGACAGTTAAACGTTTGCCAACCAAAACTTTAATTCATCAAACAAATGGAAACACATACATTCAGAGCTATGGAAATTTACCCTGCCAGTGTTGTTACTGTCAATATTAGGATATCCATATTAAGCTTTCATACTTGTTGACCTTCATCAATAAGATATTTCTGCCAATATAATGATTTCATAACTTAGCATGAATACCAAATATTTGTGGGTCTTTTAAGTTAGAGTACAAAGCTGCACTCAGTCGCTAAGTAATCATAGCGCTTAAATCCAGCTGTATATATTGTATCATATTAGTATCAGTTTGCGTTAATAGATTATCTCTAATGCTATTTTTAATTTCCTATTTACCTTAAAGGGAACATATGCAACTGTATACAAAGGTTATAGTTTAGTATCTAAACAACCAGTTGCTTTGAAAAGGATACGTATGCGAAAATCAGAAGGTGCACCATGTACAGCTATACGTGAGATTAGCTTATTACGAGGATTGAATCATGCAAATATTGTAAAATTACATGATGTTATCTATGAAATGGATTCATTAACATTGGTTTTCGAATTTGGAGTAAGTTATTGTTTAATGCATATCTTTGATAAACTGTACTATGTATGTATGATTATGTAACCCTTCTGTTTAATTTTCCATCTATTCGTCAACATTTTTACAAAATGTTTTAGGTGGAAAATGGATTCATAAAAAGATCAATCATTTAGGTATTTTTTTCGATAACCTCTACTTCAGGTCCTACATTTACTTGTACATATTGAGGAAACATGAGTCAACAAATTTGGGGGTTTTGTTCATCAGTTTATTTGAACGATCAGTACACGGATCATAAATTCATCCTGTGTGAAAAATACAATGGACAGGTGAGATATACTTAGCAGGTTCAACACAGTACACCCAAAGATGAAATTGACGTATGAAGAAGAGACAAGAAAGATATTCCAAAGGCTAGCATGAAGTCATTATACATTCGCATACAATTTACAAGTGACTTACTTAGCGAGACATATTAATTCATAAACTATACAGATTACTTCAAAAAACTTTTATGCTGGCGAATTACAAATTACTTTCTCTATACGGCCAATAGTGACACCGAGACTGAAAGATGAATCACTTAGACTGGCCACTTCCTATTGTGTTTATCAGTTCAACTGCTCCTGTCGAGCTAGTTACATCGGTCGCTTCTCTAAGAATATAATATATACCACAGTAGTCAAGTTGTGGTCAAGATTGTTATCAACTCCGTGTTGGCACATTTAGTTGAAAATGAACCATAAGGTAGATATGAATAAGTCGTTTACCATTTTGTACAGGGTTCTCAACAACTTTTCAAAGGGTACCTGACTCTGAATCCTACAGACAGCAGAAACAGTAGAAATCAGGATAAAACAACTGGAGTTATATGTTAAAAAAAGGTGTTGTCGCTACAACTATCGTGATCCAATTCGGGACACAAACATTCCTTAGCATTCTACTCTATACTGCAGATACCCCTTCATTCCAATAATCTGGAATAATTTTGGCACATTCTCCTAACCTATTCTATCTCCTAATATGAGTAACATTCTATCAAGTTATTATTCCTTGAATTATCTTTCCTGATTTATTTCATCTAACTCTCATAAATACCTTCCTACTGTTTTATTAAACCATAACCTTGTAGTATTACCCACGCAGTATAATTGTATAGGTAATGAAGTTATTTTGTAGCAAATCCCAATAGTAATGGTTTTATCATTAACGTTCACAAAAGAACTTCCTCAGTTGATTTCCTCAACTGAATAACTAACAAACTGATAAGTGGAATGTCAATATTGTTTGCGCATAATTCTTCAATACGCAGATATAAAACCTTTGGAATTATAACAAAAATTTTCGACTATTTAAATATCATTTAATAATAGTGGACGTCTAATCACCCTAGAAGTAGTATTCACTATTAGGTGATCTGTCACATAACTCCTTTGTAAATTATTATTATTTTTTCCTTGAGTTTCTAGTGGAACATAAGGCTTCAGCAGCACACTTCCATTGCACTCTCTTCTCTGTAGTCTTTTCAACCTCGCTCCACCAATGCTCACAAGCTTTCATTTCTTCCTCCATGTCAGCCTCACCTCGGACGCCCAACTCGCCGTTTCTCATCTGGGCTCCACTCGATGGCCTGGTGCGTGATATCTTCAGTCGACCTTCTCAGTGTATGCCCAATCCGTCTCCATTTCCCCATTCTGCATATTTGTTGAACGACAGGTTCTTGCTTCATTGGTTAATTTATAGAGCTGTTTATTGTTTATTGTTTCTGGACATCTCATCTGATCTTCTTTATCGAGCGTAGACGGCTGCTGATGAATGTCTGTAGTATGCTGGAAGTGCTTTTCGTGACGCACCAAGTTTCGGAACCATATAGCACCACTGACTAGAAATTAGTGTTTAAAATCCAGATCTTGTTCTTTATGCTGAGTGCAGGAGATATCTGCATTGGTTTCAGGTTGATCAACGCCTACCTTGCTTTTCTGATCCTGGCTCTGGCGTCCTTGTCTCTGCCTGTGCCACCTGAAGTTGAAACGGTGCTGCCTAGATAGGTGAAAGAGGCTACTTCCTTTAAGTTTCTCCCATTGATGGTGATTGGAGCTTGTTGTTGCTGTTGGTGGTAGCGTTGGCTGTATATCTTCATCATCTCTGTCTTCCCTATATTCCCTAGAAGTGTCGTTTTTGCTGCCCTACCTCTTCTGTCTTCTCGTCTCCTACATTACTATAGGCTATAGGATTAAGGTATACGTGATATACAAGGAGTGGCTATCGTGACTCAGTAGCCTGATGGAGGGGTAAGCAATGGATCTAGTACACGTAACATCATATGAACTACCCGTAGCGCAAGAAGTGGTTATTTTACCTCAGTGGCCTAGTTGATAACGCTCTGACGTTTGAAACGATCGGTCCTAAGTTCGAATCCTAGTGGAAAGAACATTACTCTCTGAGTGATAGATACATCTAACTGACGAGTCCCAAATCAGATGAAATGCGTATCCTGAATTCCACTCAAAGTCACTCTCCATCATGAACATAAAATTGAAACAAGCAAAATGTAGGCATCCGGCAGGAGCTCATATGTAAATATAGACAGATCAATTCGGTCCAACCACCTATAGGATTATACAAGCAACATCATATAACTCTCTCCTTTTTGTATGACTATTGTTTTCTAAATTATGATCACTAACCATTCAGGGTGAAATTGACTATCTTTTGCTATTTAATCTGTATGTGTGTTGTTATTCGCATTCTCTTTTATTGTAAATACGAAACAGGATAGGTCATAGGTGACATTCTGAACATTTTGTCATATCATGTCCAAGTACAATAAGACATTACAAGCGGATGTTTATATCCTTTATCTTGGTATAGAAGGATAAATTGGTCTCAGTATATTTTCTGTTAATACTGTATGATGATTGAAAATGAAATGAAAACTTATGCCACAGCAGGTTACTGGCCTAGTCTTCTACTAACTGAGTTACGAGCGAGACCCGACTAGTTCGAATCTTGAAGCAGTCAAGATTTTTATTTCACCTTTAATCATCACCCAATACCAATAATACTAATCTGTCAAACCTTATTATTATATTATTTGTCTCCTGAGTTCCTAGTGAACATAGGGATTCAGTAGCACGTCGCTACTTCACTCTCTTCTCTGTAGTCTTTTCAACCTGGCTCCACCAATGCCCACAAGCTCTCATTTCTTTCTCACACCATCTCCTCCATTCCACCCTCGACTCAGATGCGTTTCCCATCTGAGTTCCACTCAACGGCCTGGCCTGGAGCGTGATGTCCCAAACGATCTTCTCAGTGTATGCCAAATCCATTTCCACTTCCTTCTGCATATTTGTTGAGTGATAGGTTCTTGGTTGGTTTGTTGCCAGAGTGAATTCCTTGTTGCTTATTCTCTCTGGCCTTTTTATCTGATCTTCAGCATCGAGCTAGCGTAGGCGGCAGTTGTTGATGAATATGTGTAGTTTGTTGGAAAACCTTTCTGTAACGAGCCAAGTTTCTCGAGCATCACATAGAAGCACTGACTTGACTGAATTAGTGTTGAAAATCGGGATCTTATTCTTTGTGCTGAGTGCAGAAGATCTCCACACTGGTTTCAAGTTAATGAACGCTTGTCTTGCTGCATTTCCGATCCTGTCTGCTTTGACGTCCTTATCTGTGCATGTGCCGCCTGTAGCTGAAACGATGCTGCATAGACAGGTAGAAGAGGCTACTTCCCTTAAGTTTCTCCAGACAATGATGATTGATGTTTGTTGTTGTTGTTGGTTGGGTATCTTCATCACCTCTGTCTTCTCTACGTTCACCTGGAGGAAGTGCCGTGTTCTCTGCCTCTTCTGTCGACTTGTTAGTTTTCGCCTGTAGATCTTCGAGTTTGTGTGACATTATACACAAGTCATCGGTGAAATCGAAATCTTCTACGATCTTTTCTCCGGTCCAGCGTATGTCCCTCTTCTGGCTCCTCATTGTTCGTTGCATGATCCAGTCCACCACAATCAGGAATATTATGCGTGATAGTAGACAGCCTTGCTTTACTCCTGTCTTCACTTCAAAGGCATCACTGAGCTTCCCTTCGTGAATTACTTGGCATGTGACGTCTTCATATAGTTGTTGAATGAGATTGATAAATGTTTGTAGTATTCCGTATGTTGAAGCTACTGTCAAGCCTTAGCCATGTCAAATAGTCACACCGACAAATTTTTACTCGATTTGTCAGAATTAAATGAAAATGATTAGTGGTGATATTGATGGTGATAACAATAGTACATCATATCAATCTAGATAATATCGATGTTGATGTACGGATCATCAGAATGAGATTGATGATGAAAATAAAGTCTAGACAATTCCTCTTCCTATATGCTAACTATTAGCTGCCAGTTGTGGTGATCTATTTCAAGTTATCTTTATGTATTGGTCCTGGGTAATCAATCTTTGTTGATATGATCAAACGGTATTCAGTAGAGCCTTAATTAGTGTTGCCCATTTCAATCAAGTGTAGTATAATTGCTGGCTGGTTCGTTAATCAGCTTCTTAACCTCTATGAAAGTTTTCAAGATCACCTTTAGACATAGTTTCACATATACATCAGTGGATTTAATTTCATAAAGGCAGTTCTTTTGATTTTCTTTAAAGTGTTTGTTAAGAATTCTTCTTATTTCTTACGAAGTTTCCTTATGATATGGGATTATCACAGATTTATCCATGTTCTTTGAAGAGAGTTTCAATACATTCTTAATTTCAGTAAACTGACTTCAACTATTTTTTTTCTATCTTCTTGGAATGTAAGAAAGCTATCGACTCTGTTGGCCACATTTCAAATGAGTGTTACTTTCTTCATCTAAAGATGGATAGATTGATATTCATGGTGGATAGTAGTTAGGAGAGGAAATTGACGATGTACGTTTCGCCCCATTTATGACTCATCAGCTAGGTATATCTATCTACTTATTATCGAACTCGAGACTTATCACCTCAAACAAATTCTAGCCTCAGTGAGAATTATATCGATC